TGTAATAAAGCATATGTACACTATATTTCTTCTCCATTATGCTATTCTGTGCAAGTTAGAATCCCCAACAACTGCATTGAAATAGTTTGAGCATTATCTTTATATAATGAGCATACTGAAATTAGACATTATCACTCAAGACATTGAAAGAATCATAGTGTTGTGGCATTGAGTGTAATCCTCTTCTAAGAACAGGAATGCAAATTAAAGCTAATCTGTCAGAATGCCATCTCTTCTTATATATATATAGATATCTAGAAAAGGAAGAGAAACGTCAGCACTTCCTGATAGCTAATGCTTTTGTTGCCAGGAAGATCTCTGAAATACTCTAGCATCTGTCTTAAATTTATTTCTCCATGTCCTTACTGTGGGTTACTATCTTCTTGTATTAAAAAACATATAATAGAAGAGGGTTACTGTAGTTCTGTGTCCCCCATCCTGTCCCATCAGTGTTTCCTTTTCAAGGCTGAATGTTCCCATTTCTCCCAGCGTCTTCTTATAGTATTTGTTTGTAATTTTTTTAGTAAATCTATTCCAGTTCTTAAAAAAATGGAACATTACACATAATATTGAAAATAGAGCTGCCAGGTGGACTTTTATCTTTGATAGATTTAGACCAGCTTAGCCTCTATGAGATTGTTGTATCATATACTCTCAGAGCTAAGTTTTAAACACTAATTAAAATTACTATTGTTCCATGATTTTAATACATATTATCAACACATAACTTACAGGTTAAAGGGTGTAACTCAGGATGGAAATACATTGTGAAAGTACACTATCACTAAAATACAAATGTTTGCCTTTATTTCACTATTTGGCAGTGTTTATAGAATATATTATTTCTGTGAAAAATATAATTGATTGATATGACAGGTTTTATAGTCTTGAAAAACATTTTCCATAGTATACATCTTAAAAATGATGCAACTAATCTTGTCAGTTAAACTATTTTACAATAATAATGGTAAACATAACTTCTTTTTGTTCGGACAGTTAAATTCAATGTTGGGACTTAAAACAGTCTTTTGATCTGTATAATAAATAGATTGCCAGTATGGGGGCTAAATGCTTTGTTATACTGGGGAAAGTGCCAAGCTTTTGTGTATACAGGACCTCAGTTTCTTTTTGACTGATTCCTTGGGATTGGTATCAGCAGGTATTGGTGCCTACAGTCAAATGTGATTTGTTTTCTGAATGGTGTAGAGAGTTTCCAGGTCTGAGCTGTTAGCATTGCTGGTAGGAGGGTGGAAAAACAGGTCTATAAAGCTCTCATTAAGATAAAAAATAGAAACTTTTGCTGAAATTATGAATAGGTATTATTGATGGAGATTTGTAGCACGCAAGTTAATTTCCAGGAAATCTTGTAAAATTAAAACAAAAGAACTTCCCAAAATTAATGCTCTTTTGCTTAAGTGTATGCCCAGTCTTCTTTTGCCTTGAATCTTGACCTCATCTTTGATGTGACATACACTAAAGATGCATTGAATAATTGTAAACAGCTAACTTTTCATCATTTTTATACTCTAATTCTAGTGCCAAATATATCATTCATAGCCTTTTTGTAGTACATTCTAATCTTTCTGTCTAGCAATTAGTGAACTTGAATGTCAAATTAAGTTAAAATTAATGGTAGAGGGAATCTTGTACTTATTAGCTTGAAACTGTCCTAACTGGTTGTGCATAGAGGAGCTTTCCAAGTGTTGCAAATAGCTATAGATTAGGTATCACATGGTTGCGAAGATTAATGAATGGTCTTTTAGCTTGCTAATTTAAAGCAATACCTAGTAATTAATTCTAAATTATCAGTTGCACATTTGCAAATACCTAAAGGGAATTATAAAATTAAAGATAGGGTACATGTGAAATTCCCTTGGCTAACATAATAGGTTTCAAGTTATCAGTGCAGGTTTACAGCAACCGGAATTCATGTCATGCTCAGTTTGAATGGTATTAGGGACCAGGATCTAATGCTGATAATGATTAAAGCCATTAATTTTCTTTTTATTTTAAAGCATGAGACCAAAATAAACATGTTTTTTTGTGTGAAACAATGGATGACATCTATCCAATTGTCTTGGCACAAAAAAAATAAGGATCATTTACCTTATTTATTAATGTGAACAACAAATATATACTTTCCTCCATAAAAACTTAATATGCAATACAAGTCATTTCCAGTGGATGCCAGATCTATTGAACAGATTTTATATTTTTAAATAAGTAGCAGAATATCTTCTTGGTGGCTAGAAATTTAACAAATATTCCATATAATTTCTAAAGTCTAAAAACAAGCTAGTTTCATGTATGTAGTGATGAATTGTGGCAAGATTTTTATGGATTAGAAAATATTTGAAGAATCAAATGATCAACTTGTCTTATGTGTTTTGGAATTGTGGAGAGCACTGTAACAATCTATCTTTGAATATAGAAAGCCAGCGATTCTTCTTTAAGTTGTGTTTTCATGTGGTTGGCAGAGATAGTGAATTCTAAAGAACAATATTCAGTGGCAAAGATCATCTCCCTAGAGAAGCACTTCTTCCAAGTTGTTTTCTGAGGTACTGCTTTCAGCTCATTTTCACAATCTTACAATTCCTGTCCAAAATACTAAGCAATTAAGGCTTCCAGCATTTCAACTCTGCTGTAGTCAATAAGCAGCAATGGCTAGAAGACAATCTCAGAGACAGCTGTCACAATCTGTTGCTACAAATATTGATGAACCAACTGTAGCAAGACATTTACAGTATGTAAAATCTGATTTTGTAGCTACTGCTATTTAGGATAGAAGTAATAGATATAAGGATTAGTAGTTTGAGTATAAGTTGTTTGCAATCACTTCATCTGCTTTGAATATTGACCTCTACCTTGAGAGTTCTTCATGGAAAACTGGACTCGAGATCATACATATTTTAACCTCAAATAATTCTAAACACCTTGCCATTTTGTCCATTTTATAAGCATTCTGAAGAAAAATGAAATTGTGCATATTACGTGTACTTTTACTAATAAAATGTTGGTTTTTACAGAAAAGATGTTCTGCAAGTTTTAACTTGTGATTTGTTCCTTTTTCATATATCCATTAAACAATACAATTTTACAGAAATTCAGGATAGAATATGTACCCTGTTACTGAATGAGAAGGTGTCCATGAATTTCCTTGTCAAAGCGTATTGCCCTGAAACTTGTTTGCCTAAGAGAATATTTAAGGCTGCAGATACCAAGTTAGGTGATGAAAAACTCTACAGGGCTTAGGTTAGCTCTTTGGGAAATGAATCTTAAAAAATTGAGCTATATATCTCTCAGTTCACTGCACCTTTGTCAAGATGAATGAAAAAAATATATTGCTGACATAGATAAGAGAGAGTGAACAAAATGGAAAAATGCATGATAGCGAATACTGATTCACTTTTGGTTCAGGAAGAGCTGTTGTGAAATTCAGATCACTATAGATTTTATTTTACCATCATTTTCTTTGCTTTCTCTGATGTTGATGATGAAATTAAAACATAGGCTCCCTACTATCTTAACAATATTTTGTGTCCTACTTGTTAGATGAATTGTTATAGCAGTGTGGAAGTTTAAATTATATATAAAATAAGTATGATAGATATATGTTAAATATGCCAAGTATAAAAATACTCTATTATATGACATGCCTGGAAACCTTTCTTAGAAAATAGTATACATTCTAATTCCCAATGAAAAGGCAGAATTTGCTTCTCATAATTTTTTATCATTTCAAAATTGTCCTGTTCACAAAGAAATTAACGGTCAAAGGTTAACATTGGCAAAGGTATCCATGGTACCTTGATAGGTAAAAACTTAGTTCAGAGCATGAATTAATGATAATGATTCTGTGGTAAGAACGCAATGTACAGAAAATTTGTACAGACATGAAGATTTACAAATTAAAATGATTTCAACTCTGTTTTTTAAAGATATTGTCAGGCATGGATAAAGGCTTGAATTTAGTAGGAAGGCATAAATGTTTTTGGCATGATAATTTATATAGGCCCAGCCTATCACAGAAGTAGTTCCTAATGTCTAATTTTTCTCAGATAGAAATTGTATATTTGAAATTATATGTATGTAGAATATGTATACTATACATTTGGATCTCTCTTTGAACTGTGATGGGGCTAATCAGCTTTTGATTGCAAGGTTGGTTGTGCTGCCAGCACAATTTGATGTTTTTCTGTCTCTTTAGTTTTGGTATTTCAGTACAATGTGTTTGCAGACTAGGTGCTCAGTATCCATAGATGAAATGTCAGCAGCAGCAAGAGGCCTTGTGGTGCTATGCCTCTAGTGCCGAGATATAGTTCCTCTGAGTCATATTTACCGTACCTCAACCTCTTCCTCTTCTTTTCTTTTCTTTGCTGCATAATAAAAATCCAATTAATGATATTGAAGCTGTTAACAACCCCATAAAGTACCACCAACCATATAGGAAATGCCTGGACCAGGAAATATTCTCAGTTTCACTTTAAGGAAAGATCCAGTTGGAACTAAACAAATGGATTAATATTAAAAGTTGTTGCCCTACAATAAATACATAAAAGGAATATAGTACAGGATGCTCATAAGTAGGTGTGGAAATGTGGCTGGCTAAGGCATGATATATGGCCTTAGCACTTTTTCCAGCCCAAGTGCTTCTAGAATTGAACATTGATTTATTTGAGGTGACTCTTATCTATATAAAAATAATACTTAAGTGCTCAGTCTACACAGTGATATGGGTTTATTTATATAAATATATTATATATTTTTATTCTATCACTTGTGGTAGCTTGCAAATACTGTATCCATGAAACCCATAAACTCACTCCATTAAAACCAGACCAAATTATATTAATTGCTATCTAACTGCTTTATATGGATATTGTGATAGTTACATACGTTTACAATTACTCTGCAAACTTATATTACTGGGAAAATTTAGAAAGATGTACACATTAAATATTTTAAAACTAAAACATTTCCAACTGTTCTGTTTTTAAAAGGTAACTTTTGAAATACATAAACAGAACCTTTCTCGGATGTTCAGGGAATATGAAGAGAAAGGAGACGAATGCTGCACTGCTGGTCCATCATCCATTATTAGAACAATTTCAGGTATTAGTAAAGAAACTGAAGTTACAGAGAAGCTCCATCAACTTGAAAAAAAAGAAGCTGACACTTCTTCAGTTGATACTGACAACAGAAGCATGAACAATAGTGTTTTGAAAGATGAAAGTAGATTATCTGATTTTGAAGAACCCAGTAATTCAGAAACAAACAAAGAAAAAACCAAAACAGAAAATATTCAGAGACCTCTTGATTTAAATGGAGCACCTAGTTTAGATCTTCCCCTACAAGCCAAAATTACAAAACAGAGCTCAGACTGTACTGCTGAAATTACTGGAATAAACCATGAAGAAAAAGAAATATGTACCACTGATTCACAATCATCTTTAGAAAATGTTGAAACACTAGAAAATCCAGAAATGTTAGAAAATGTAACACCAGAAGTATATGTGGAGGAGGATGAAGATTTTGTTGATTTAAAAAACGAGACTAATCTGGCACTTACATCAGAACAATGTGTTCCAAAATCCATTGAGGATCATGATTTGTGCGATAGCCAGGTAACCTCAGTTATACAGCAGTGCACTGCTTCTTCAAAAGAACCTGTTTCAATAGAAGTAGTTCCTGAAACTGTTGAAGGATCAGTGGAAACAGAACAGCAGGATGGCTTGCCAGAAATCAGTTGTCCTGAAGTAAACAGAGCTCAGTCAACTTCAGACAATGAGAATAACATTGATGACAAAAATACTAATCAACCCCAAACCAAGACAGTTGTAGATAGCACACAACCACAGACTTCAGAAGCTATAATTGCTTCAGATAAGAAAATTGCCAGACTTGATGTTTCCAGCATTGCATCAGATACTGAAAGATTAGAATTAAAACCCCATGCAAATCCAGAAGTAAATCAACCTCCTAGAGCCATTACTAAGGTAGGTTTTGCACTACTATCTTCTTAAGTAAGTTAAAAATATTTACCAGATGGCATGATTGTGTGTGTGTGTGTGTGTGTGTGTGTGTGAGAGAGAGAGAGAGAGAGAGAGAGAGAGAGAGAGAGAGAGAGAATTCTGTCTACTTAGCTAACTTTTAATAGCAGTTATAATTAAGAATGCTTACAGATTTGTAAAGTGACCTAGGTTAGATGTTTTAACTGCAAATATTATAAAGCTGAGATTAAAATGTCACATAATTTTCTGTATAAAAATGTTTTAATAATTTAAAACTAGAATGTATGCAAGATTTGCATCACTTATGCATTATTCCTAATTAAAGTGATGTTCCTAAGTGCTTCCCTCCTGCAGAAATACCTTCCAATGGATAATCATCAAGTTACATCACAGTTCCTCAAAGGAGGAAAATCACAGGCAGCAGCAATATATGCACCCTATGTGGTAAGGTCTAGCTGCTGCTTATTCTTGTCTTGGCTGGCAGAGATGGTGGCATAGTTGCTAAGTAGTATATAGACTTGATATGATTTTTAACTGTTTAAGCACAGTCCTCAAATAAGTATGACTTTATAAAATTAGTATTGACTATATCATACCTTCTAGAACAGTGGTTCTCAACCTTTCTAATGCCGTGACCCCATAATACAGTTCCCCATGTTGTGGTGACCCCCAACCACTTATACATCACTGGGTGCCAGGGGCGTGGCCAAAGAAAAGGAGGAAAAAATGGTGGACAGCCTTGTTTGGCAACCCCCGTGAAATGGTCGTTCGACCCCAAATGGGGTCCCGACCCACAGGTTGAGAACCACTGTTCTAGAATATGAACAGCTTTTCCTGGAATTAGATATCTGCTAAGGCTCAGATGAAATTTTCAGTGTGATCTTCAGCTTGACTTATATCTCTCAATTTATATTGTTTCAAAGACATCTAGGCAGTATGATTCATCAGATCAAAATGTAGTAACTCCTGCAGATGGACAGAGGAAGGATTCTAGATCTACCATGTTCCGTATTCCTGAATTTCGATGGTCTCAAATGCATCAGCGCTTGCTTACAGATCTCCTCTTTTCAATAGAAACAGATGTACAGATGTGGAGAAGGTGATGTCTATGAAATCTTAGACAGTTTACATAATATAAGCAAAATCTGTAAAATTGTATCCTAATTAGATATTATATTTTGAAATGGATGAATTGTAATATATAACTGAGTTCTCAAAGTTGAATTGGAGCCTTTCGGGACCAAGTTGTATTAGCATCTTCTGAAATGCTTGATTGAATAATGTTTTCATATAATACAAAGATTGTTCAGAATCAAGAATTGCATTGCATTAAAATATACTCTTTATATACGTTTTTCCCTTTTTATTTTATTTGAACAGGAAAATAATGCTTCTTCAAAACCAAATTTTGTAAGCTGCTTTTTTTCCCTTTCAGACTCGTTCTATTTTACTGAAACACTATGATTCCTTTTTTAAAATGAGGTTCAGCAACATCCAGAATTACTGAAAAGAAGTTGCTTTGCGCAAGACATTCCCGTGCATTAGGGTGTTATTTAAAAAAAGAATCAAATATTGGAAACTGATGAATATATTTAGCTTGGGTTTAGGATGAGGGTGAAGGTTCAATCTCTGAGTTTGTGGTTGGTTTCTGAATGTTTCATTACCAGCTAGGTAACATTTTCAAACGCCACTGAAGATGTTACCTAGCTTGGTAATGAAACATTCAGAAACAAACTCACAAACTCGGAGAACGAACCTTCACCCTCATTAGAAAATGATTTTGTGAGATTATATAGATCAGGAGTGCCAAATTGCTGGCCCATGGGCCGGTTTCATCATACTGAAGCCGCGCCCACCCCATTGCCAGCAATGGCAAAACCGGTCCGATACATTGCATGATGTCACGTGACGTCGCGAGTTTGACATGTCTGATATAGATGAATAAAAAGGACTATTGCCTAACTGTCCAGTCTAAACTTACCCTCCTTATCATGTCTATGGAGATTCTCAATCATCCAGATCATGGTTGTTCCAAAGGTACTTTTTCAAAAGGCAATTGGACTTTGTTTTTCTAGAAGAAGTTTTGCTTCTCATCGAAGAAGCTTTTTCAGTTCTGAGTGAATTGTGATGAACACTCATAACTGAAGAAGCTTCCTGGATAAGAAATGATCTTCAGGGAAATACAAAGTACAATTGCCTTTTGAAAAAAGTATCTTTGGGATACCCAACTTAAATCAGTTTTAGTCTATTGATTGACCAAAATGAAAATGTATTAAATCACATGCAGTGAATAGTTTGGTAAAATAGAAGGAATTTATTGCATTTATTTGTTGTAACAGGAATTAAATTTCTTTATGCTTTCTATTTTTATACTCTTTTTGCTTAGAAAGTGAAGTGTGCAATATCATTATAAGTTACTGGTTTCTCTTAGGAGGAATGAGTTCAGATCCACTTTATTAATATATTTTATCAAATTTAAACACCACCCAGTTCACTGTCTAAGTGACCCCCCAAGTGAAACTTATTCTGATAATTTATTCAGTGTCTTTTGCAGACTTTAAATAATTGGGGTTCCTAATAATAAATATTCACCACATACTTAAACATAGTTTCTGGAGATCTATGTTCTAGAGAAAATTAGAAAGATAAGGAGAGGGCATTTTCAAGTTAAGATGAGGATGCATTGGTAACTTAGAATGCTGATGTGTGATTCTTGGCTGCAGGAGAAATTTCTGATTGATGTAAGTAAATAGTATTTCAATAAATAAGTACTTTGTAACATTGCAAGAGAAAATACATATTTCCTGCATATTTTATTTTGGAGCAGTCATTCTACCAAGACTGTGATGGACTTCGTGAACAGCAGTGATAATGTCATCTTTGTACATAACACGATTCATCTTGTCTCTCAAGTGATGGACAATATGATTATGGCTTGTGGTGGCATATTACCTTTGCTTTCAGCTGCTACATCTGCTACGGTAAGAAATCCAATTTCCAATACATAAGTGATGCTTTGTGTCTTTGTGCATTGGATTATACTAAACTAAAATTATGCTCAAGTATGCTTGCTTATGGCTCTGCTGGGGGGGGGATTTGTTCTGTGTGCCAACACTAAAAAACTGAGTTATGTGACATTGACTTCATTTTGCCTTTCTTTTCATTGAGTGAAAAAGGATAAATGAAAGCATTCTCTCAGATCCAATCTAAGTCTATTAAAGATGAGGTACTTGAAATCAGTCTGTTTCTTTCCCCTTCTTGCCCAAATGTGATCATGTTCTATAGTATCATCCAGAGGCATATGTAAGGAGGGCAAAAGGGTAAGATGACAGTTGCAACCATGTGATTGAAACACTGCCATTTGTGTATGTTTATGATACATCTATTTATCATCTGTGCTTATAGCTTCTTCCAAGTCCAGGAAACAATTTTTGAAGGGGATACCAGATTGAAGTGGTAACCTGTTTTGTGTTTTCAGCACTTCTAATCTTTTTGCTGTTAAAAGTTTATCATAAATGCAATTTTTGCTTTACTGATGAAGTCTACCATAGAATAAAATAATTTGGAACGTTTCATAATTAATTTAAGGCATGATTCACAATTTTTTGAACCAGATTGCCAGTTAAGGAATAACATATGCATTTATTCATGCACCTTCACTCTCATATGTTATCCCTTTCCCTTATTCTCAAAAGTCCCATAGGGACACCATGACTTTGATGCAGTTCTTTAGCCTATATATAACAGGGCACCATGACTGTCAGCTCAAAACAATAATGTGTGATGTGCTGTCATAAATTTCCTTTCTGGGGAATAGGCAGTCATTTTAGGAATTATAGAGGGTTTTGGAAGTAACTTTTGTATCCAGAAAATGGCTAAAGGGAACAAGATTTTCTGTGCTGTTGTGTCCATCATTGTTCACTAGACTACTAATTTTTGGAAACTACAATCACATTCTGGCTTACGTATTTTTTACAATTTTGCTGAAATATTTGTCCGTTTTATTTCTATTTCAGATTTTTCTCTGTAGTAATTTAACGTTTGTTTGTTATGGTACCTAGGCACTCAAATTCATTTAAAGTTATACTTGTTTCTTCATAGAACCAATTCTGAAACAGTTCTCTTTTATATTATTTATAAACAATATAAATTATTTATATTATTTGGTCTAGTGGTTAAGGCACATAGCTAGAACCAAGAGAATATAGCATGAAAGCTGGCTAGGTGACTTTAGATCAGTTGCTCTATTTCCGCCCACAAGGTCAGGCTCAGACAACAAACCAATTGGTCAATTCCTTCAACACCCAGTTGATAAAAAAAAAACTTAGAATGGGAAAATAAAGATCATCCTGTTCCAACAGTAATTGGAACCAATGTTTATTATTCATATTGTCATTATTTCCTAGATTCTTGGACAAATAAATTCAAACATCAATTCCATGTATACAGCTAGTCCTCATTTAGCAACCAGAATTGGGACCAGTAACTTGGTTGCTAAATGACATAGCAACTGTGGAAAATAATGTGATTGTGACTGCTTACAATTTTATTGTACCTTCCCCCTTTCCCCACTCTCTCATCCTTTGGAATGCTTACCATAGTGCTGGGATAACTAGCAAAAAGGGAATTAATGTTTGTGTTTATATTCATTGGAGAGGAAAGGATTACAAGAAAGTAAGGAAGCACACAATGGGGAATATGCATTGAAAGGAATATACTAGCACCATCTAGTGTAAAGGATTCCTGATTAGAGCATTTAGTAGCTTGGTACCCGTTTCGCTATTGTTGTAACTTATACTTGCTGCCTGAGGCAGATGCTAAGTGAGATCTACCTGATAAACAACCATAGTGACATTGGACTAGGGTAATTTAGGAAAGCATATAAAATAAATAAATATTTTTCATTTCCCAGCATGAATTGGAAAGCATTGAGCCAACTCAAGGATTATCAGTGGAAGCTTCCATAGCATTCCTTCAAAGATTAATTAGCCTTGTGGATGTACTGATCTTTGCAAGTTCTCTTGGATTTACTGAAATTGAGTCAGAGAAAAATATGTCATCTGGTGGAATTTTAAGGCAATGTCTTCGACTTGGTAAGCAAATAGTTGTCTAGCATTGACATGTTTTTTATCTTTGATAAATTGTCTTAAATATATTCACAAAGAAAATGCCTATCAAACTTATAATGCTCCTGTATCTATCTAGAGATCTAATGGCCATTTATATAAAAAAGGCTGATTGGAGAAAAGTTCTGCAGAATGGAAAAGGAATTATTTCTTCCTTTGTAGAAGGAATTGGAAATTCTTGAGTCTTATGTACAAAACATTCTAGAATAGCCAATGTTCTAGGGATAATTAATGTATTTCTGCAAGTAGATGTCCAGAACCATATAATGTTCTAGATGCTTCATGACAACATTATGTCTTTATCTTTAGGTTAGTTATGTTTATTTGCTGGTTGTACTTGAAATTCAGTGGTCCCTAAAATATATCTTTCATTTTAGTTTGTGCGGTAGCCGTCAGAAATTGTTTGGAATGTCAGCAACAGCATAAGTTAATGAAGCTTAGTGGAGAAAATGTTAAACATCGGAAAACAATGCAAAGCCTTATAGCCTCAGGAAGAATTGGAGCAAAGGCAAGTGGTTTTTTTTAAGTCAATGCTGGCAAATGATGGTTTTTTTCCCCTCTGTATCCTGATGAACACATTTATGTGACTTTTTTATATTAATATAGGTATCAAAAACCAAGTATAGTTGTTTAATTACCTAGACATTTATTTTAAATTGTATATACAGTGTAATAACATATAAATGCTGACACTTTTCAAGAAGAAATATGTATCAAATGTAAGTCATAAATACTTTTAGTTTATTTCCACAATTTTGCTTTATACTAGGCAACCATGATCTGTTGAGTTAAGGCTGCCCATCATGGCATGAGTGCAAGGGGACTGGCAGAAAGTGTGTGGTTGGGGAGACTTACCCAACCAACTTGTGACCTTGCCTGCAAGATTTCCCATTGACGTTTCCCCCTGCAAGCTTCCCAGGAATGAAGTAGCAAGTCCAAACCCAGTGTCTGCCATCAGCTACAGTCACATAATTTCCCTGCAAGCTTCCCTGGCTTTTCCACTGACTTGTGAGAATGAGAATGTGTTAGGGAACCTTGTAAATAAGGATCATGTGTAGTCATTTCAGATATGTTACCTTACCTAAAACAGAATGATCATGAGTGGACAAAAAATCAGTGGGAACTTCCTTCTGACTTCCTCATTGAATTTATTTGTGAGAAGCTGGCAGTGACCTCAGATATCTTCCTTCCTTCCTTCCTTCCTTCCTTCCTTCCTTCCTTCCTTCCTTCCTTCCTTCCTTCCTTCCTCCCTCCCTCCCTCCTCTTTCTTCCTTTCTTCCTTCTTTCTTCCCCTGGGGGGAACAAATGAGGGATTGAGTGGTTGAGATGCTGCTGTGGAATGTTGAAAATGAGGATTGTGTGACTATAGCAGTAGCCGAGCTACTGAAGTAGTTTTAACTTATCCAAATTTCATTTTCTCAGGAGTGATGGATTGTGGCATTCTGTAGGTTAGCCCATTTGAAGTACATTTGTGGACAGAATTTTGCCCTATGATGCACCATTTTGCCCAGCTAAAGATCACAGGCACAAGAGTTTTCAAACCTTGTATAAATATTTGAAAAACTACAATGTAACGGATTTTTCATCAGATATAAATAGATCTATAGATAAATCTTCAAAATGAAATAATATTTGCCCCCTTTTTCTTTTGAACAGAGTCCAGTTGATATTGTAACTGGAGGGATTTCTCCAATAAGAGACATTGACAGACTTCTACAGGATATGGATATTAATCGGCTCCGTGCAGTGGTATTCAGAGATATAGTGAGCAATTTTTCCTACTTATTTCTTTTTTTAAAATAATCATGTATAGTTATTAAACTTATGCACCATTCCATAATACCAAAATCTAACAGTATATGTACAAGAATTGTAAAATACTGTGGAAATAGCAAAACAGGAATTGAGATCATGTAAAAAGCTTAAGTTCTTATTAACAGTTGTTTCTGCAGGTAGCTTCAGTTTTGTGAATATTTTTTTTTAATTGGAATGTATTAAAGACCAGAATGTTATCACTGTGTTCCTAGAATAGTTGAGCCATCAGGACAACGCAAGTTCTTTCTATTTAAAAAGTAGGACTGGAATGAGTTCAAATAATTTTTAGTACATCACCAATAGATGTCAATAGAATGGCAGTAGAATATTTCCCAATGTCAATAGAATTCTGAAGTTGTAGATGTTTTACTTCATTCAAATATAAAACTAGAATAATATCAATTGCCTAGATTAGAATGTTTCTACATGAGAGGAAATCTCTGTGTAACACAATATTCAAAATTATAAAACAAAATGTTCTGCTATTTTATCAACATATGCGATTAGCAAAGATCAGGATTTAGTCCAGCATTAAGTGAATAAAAATGCAGAGTTCTAAATGTGCTTCTGCAAATTTTAAAAGAGATCCTCTGAATTCCACTGCTAGCCCTGGTAAAGAGTCTTTTCTTATATACTCATCATAACATATTGTGAGGAGCTCTTTGAAACAGTTGTGGTAAGCTGTTTTGTTAAGCAACAGATTTGAAAGAATACTTTGCTTCCCAAAGCATCACTCCATGTGATTCACACAGCCCTAATAAATAAATTCTTGTAGATTTTTTAGTGAAATTTCCTTGAGGAAATTATTTTGTGATAGTAATACCGTAAATGCCGGCGTATACGACGACTTCCGCGAGCGCTGAAATCGGCGCCAAAGACGGGGGTCGTCTTATACGCCGAGTCGTCTTATACGCCGGAAATACTGGTAGTTTCCGGCATATAAGACGACTTTCTAGGAATGCAGCCCGGCTATAAAGACGGGGGTTGTCTTATATGCCGGGTCGCCTAATACGCCGGCATATACGGTATTAATTCAGGTCTTAGTGTGTGACAATAAAATAATTTCTATATGTTTTTGGTTTTTTAGGAGGACAGTAAGCAAGCACAGTTCTTGGCTTTGGCTGTAGTGTATTTTATCTCTGTACTCATGGTATCAAAATACAGAGATATCTTGGAACCTCAAGATGAACGGAGGCAATTTCAACCTACTCAGTCACCCAAAATAGGTTAGTATTGTAGGCACCTGGAAATATACTTTATTGATCAGCGTAGGATATTCATAACATTATAAATTTCCTCAACCTGAAGACATGTGTCTTCAATTCCTAGAATTCTTAGCATTTGGGGGCATAATGGTGAATATTTTTATTTTTAGATTAGGTTCTATTCAAAATAATCTTTGTTAATATTCTGAATAATTCATTGATCTATAATACTTGTTTTGATTATGAAAAATGATTATTAGTAACATAGACTTTCATATGTGCACTTTAAAAATGTGAATTGAAAGATTACATTTAATCTGCCACTTGAAAATTGATATCAAAAACTTCTGATTATTACTTCTAAATATGAAGTTAGTTTATTAGACCTCAGAGATTCTTGGAACTGATCATCCAAAGTTTATTTTTTAAACAAGTTTTTGCTTACTGTCCAGAACATTATTTTTAATATTTCATTGGTTTAATGCAAGTTTAATAGATAAAATATATTGGTAATAAACACAAAATAGGATCAATGTCCTTTGGAAATCAATTGGATGATATCTTATGTTCATACTTTGATATAAATTATAATTATACTTTAAGAAATGCAGTTTAAGTTCAAGTGCAACAATGTGTTTAGCTGAAGGATAAATTGATCATGTCAAGTAGATAAATCTATTGGAATAGACAGATTTGTGCATTGATTTATTAGTAAGTTTTTGCTTGTAAGTAAAGATCCTGCTGTTTTTGATTGTATGGTTTGTATGACTGGAAAATTCAAAGTTGCAGAGTTCCAGATAATTACTAGATGGCAGGAAAGAGATGTAGAAGCCATCGACATACTTCCCAAATAGGATGATTCTGCTGGAAATTAACTTTATAAATAGCAAGATTGGTCGGAATCTGAAACAATTTTCCACCAGTTATAGCAGACCTGATATTCTGTACATTATAGCCTTAAATGTTTTCTAGATTCACTATGTTCTTTTTTGACAAGCTGTAGCTTATCTACATAATCAGTTCCTTTTCAGCTCTAATATCTGATAACTGAATAAGTAAAGAGACCCCATAAGTATTATAAATGCAATGTAATTTAAATTGCTCAAGCATAGAATCAATTTGGAATTCTTAGTTACAGTAACCTCTAGTATTGTCTATATGATGAATTAAGAATGGGAAACTTTAAGAACAGGTATTTGTTGTAATTTTTGTTAAGATAGCAGTTGTTTATAAAATAATCTCATCACTTTTAAAAATTCTGATGTTTTATACTATATATTATTTATTTCTCAAGATAAGGAAGAACAATCTGAAGCTATTACCATTTTAAGTCAGGAACCTGCCAAGGAGTCAGAAAGTGTGGTGTCTCCACAAAGAACGGATTCGGGAATTCAGGAGAAAGCACATTGTGGATCAGGACACAATTCTGAGAAGGTTACTGAATCAGAAAAACAGAATATAAGTACAGGTCCAGATGCAATAAGTGAAATATTATGTACTCTTTCTTCAGAAGTTAATAAATCTCAAGAAAGTAAAAATGAAGTACATAATGAGGTAGATGGTAAAACTGCATCCTCTATGCAAACTGCAAAAAATGTCAATGTAAAAGACATCCTAAGAAGTTTGGTCAGTGCTCCTGCAGATGGGGCCATGGTGGACCCTGCTGTTCTTCCACCTGTTTTTCTTGGAGTCCTTGGTGATGGTGCCTCTGCACAACCAATACAATTTCAATCTTTTGACAGGTAAGGATGATTAAACCTTGACCTATATAAAATGACATAAAATAACTTTTTAATTTTTTTAAATATTTTTCCTGAAATGTGCATATCTGCAAATATATTTCATAAATCTAAAAGTATAGTATAGACCACAGGTCGGCAACCTGCGGCTCCGGAGCCGCATGCGGCTCTTTGAGCCTTCCCCTGTGGCTCCCAGCCTTCTCTGCCTTTGCAGAGAGAGACAGAGAGAGGCAACTGCGCTTCCCTGCTCCCCCCCTCTCTCTGTTTGTGTTTTTGTGTGTGTGTATGTATAAAAGAGAGTGCACTCACAGTGTTCTCTGAAGAGCTGAAAAGCTTACTGGGCGGAGCTCCTCCCTTTGCTGCGTCTCTGCAGGAAGCAGGAAGGGCAGGAGAGAGCTAGCTAGCCCAGCTAGGCTGACTCAGGAATTCTGGGAGTTGAAGTCCATGAGTCATAAAAGAGACGAGGTTGCCTACTCCTGCGCTTGTTGGACAACAGCTTGAAGCTTGCCAGGTGAGCAGCAGATAGAAGAGGATTCATTGAGATTCCATATTGTGGTATTAAATGCAAATAATCTACCCATGATGGTAAAATGTTAAACTAGCAAAAATAAGTTTAAAAAGCAAACGTTTGCAGATGGTAGAAAGGAAAGTCAGCGTTTGTTCAAGTTTTTTCAGGATTGTTTTGTGCTATTTTGAAGACTTTTTGCATTACAGGAACAATTCAGAATTAAAAAGCGTAAGCATAAATTTGTATTGTTGCAATTTAATAATGACATAAAAGATAGTATCATTTTTTATGCCAGATTGCATGTGATTTACTTTCAAAACTTTATTAGAATAAAAGCACACTAAGATTGAAAAATATATAATTGCTAGGGAAGAACTGCAAGAATAGGAATTTCATGAGAAGGTGTATGCATCTCTGGGTCATAATTTATTATATAATTAGTAGGTATACTAGTAAGATGAATTTTAATGCCATGTATTGCTGTACCATAGCGCATTCTATTCACATTCAATGTATATTTGTAGTTAACATCTAGGATTGTTATTCTTATAGATACAGTGAATGAACTGTGTACATGCAGTGTTTGTGAAAGGAAAAATAACCATAAAACAAGAAAAAAATCTTTGCATGACTAAAGTTGTTTTTTTAATGCTCGATTGTTCAATTTTATTCATTCGAGCTAACATAAACTAGGTTTCATTAAAATAAACTATATTCTTGGCTTTATACAGGAATACGACTTTGCTTACTTAGCTTCTAATTTTCCAATTATTATGCAGATTGAAGAAAGTGATCAAAATTAATTTGAATGCATTAGTGAATACAAAATATAATGTTGCTGCATTAAAGGGGCAAAAATTAAAACCAGCACTTTGTAAAATTGATTTTCTTGTAAGATTTTAACATATGATAGAAACTTGTTCCATTGTCTGTCCCATTTTTTCAGATTTATTTATGTGTGTGTGTGTGTGTGTGTGTGTGTGTGTGCACGCACACGTGCGCATGTGCTACAGTTTTAGGTTAATTGTAGGTAGAATGGGTTATGACCTTTGTTCAGGAAACGAGCTGGGTTTTATCTCCAGGGACATCACAATACTAACGTTACAATTGGAAACTTGGAGCAAGCTGGCTTTAGGATGCTCTAAGGAACTTAAGTGTATCTGGTTTATATTTAACATATTGTCTAATGTGGAATACAGGGCTTTGTGAATTAATTTTTGGGGTTGGGGGAAGAAATCTTGTTAATTTTTTTTTCCTATGGAGCAGTTTTACAGAAAAGTATCTCTGGGAATTTCAAAGCATCTCTCTGATCCTACATTTATCTCAGGAATGTTGTGTCAGAAATCAAAACTCTCCTCATATTTTAAGGATTATCAACTTTTCAGCCATTGCTGGAGAATATACAGTAACAGCTACATGAGTGAGACCTAGCTGAAAGGCTGGCAGGTTGTGGATTTTTGCAAACAAGAAGATGATGTGTGCTTATTCCCATACCTAAAACTACTTTTTTATCTTACATGGAGATCCAACCTGGTGATTAGTGGGTGCTAGGGATCTATCTTGATCAAAGTTCAAGGACTGGTCTGGCTTTTTCATTAAGGAAGTAGAGACAGTGAATTGGTAGACTACTTGCAGTATTTATTTTCTATAATCTTCCAGGAGCCAAAATACTATTTTATTTCATTTTTTACAGTATAAATGTTGGAAATTATCTAATGTCCTGTTGAATAAAATAAACTAAGCAAAGTTATCTGTGGTATAGCTATTAAAAGTACTGAAATACAATCTTACATTTTTCAGTCATTTAAAAAAAAGAGTAGTAGAAATAGTTGTTCTTTGCAGTGAAAATTAGATTTGAAGGCAAACTTTTTCCTATTTTTAAGGTATTTCAGGGTTTTTGCAATGATTTTATGTAAGCATGCTTACATATTTATCCTTCTAACACATGAGCTCATTAATCTCTGTCAAATATGCAAATTAACTGAATTATGAGAATGTATTTCTTCACTAGTCATCAGTTTTGAAAAAATAGATGAAATAAATAATGTAAGTATTGCGTTTTAATTATTGGCTTAAAAGTGGGTACTTGGCAACCTGCCTACAATTATGGCCACAGTGGTGTTTCAAACTCCCCCATCTGCCTATCTCCCCCCATCTAAGCCTTTTGGCCTGCACTCACTATCCCAGGTGACCTTCGCCATCTTCTTGCTCCCATTGCATGTTAGTCCTGGATGCTGGACCAGGCTGGGCTAGGCTTCAGCTTTGAAAAAAAAAGCCAAAAGAATTCCCAGAGCCACAGGGCCTAAAAGTCCTTTTGTTTTTTGTTTTATAATATTCAGTTGCTTAATAATGGGTTCATATCTGTTAATTAATAAACAACTGCCTGACTTGGGATGCTAAGTAGAGCTTGCAGAGTTCTAAATATTCCTACATTCACATGGATACATGTATCTCTTAAAGACATAATCCAACAAATTATCTTCTTTTCATTCATGCATCTACCAATGCATACAGTTTCTACAGGATGAAAAAGGAAATATTTTTCTTTCATTGAAGGACCGTAACACTACTGCATCTTTACTACAAATAAATGATTCAGAATCCATGGCAAAGTACAATGATAATTGCTGATCACATACTCACAATATCTTAACTTTTAACTTTTGATATGATGTAGCAAAAATACTGTATTTTTTCTATGTAGCAAAAAAAATTCTGTATTTTTGGGGGCATTATTAAGTATAATCATTGACCATTCAAAATTAAAATATTAATCATAATTAATCAAAAAATTAATAAAAAACTTAGCATACATCTAAAATCGATAGTTTTTAATCTTAAATTGTTTATCAAAGATCCTTCTGATAAATGAATTTATAACCTAATTCATTATAAATGAATTTATAACCTAATTCATTTTTGTGCAAATTTATGTGGAAAATATCTACATTTATGGCTTAATTCCTTGGTCTGGGGCTCAGGTGGCTTTTGCTTCCATATTTTAATGTATAGTTAACATTAGCAATCACCCTTGTAATAATTCAATCCATACTATAACATCCATGGTGAATACCTATTCATTCATAGTGTTCAGAATGTCTAATCAAGCCCAGTTTAGTTACAGCAATCAGTGCAACTTAAAATGGGAAGAAATAAGGATATCTTTTTAATAAATTTATAAACTGCTAGAACATTTCTACATTATATATCTGCATTTGGAGTCAGTGTTAATGTGTTTTATTTACAAACGACATATTTTTAATGCTATTAAGGGAATACTTTCTACCACTACTTAACAGTACTGTCAACAGAATAAATTGATTAAATAAATTGAATGTTGAAGACTTTTGGCTTATAGTTAACACCAGGTAATTAAAAAGAAGCACTGCTTTGGGAGTCCATAATATATATCAACTGTATTCCTTAGCTCATTAACAGGGATATTGCATGTTTATGGAGCTAACTTGCAATTAAAAGTGTCTTTTACGTATGGTTAACTGGATATTTTAGATGTTTGGAATAAAACATTACTATTTAATTGAAATTGGTTTGCCACAATTATTCTTTCTAATATAAATGATGTCTGAAACATGGACTATATTCAGTTTTGAATATTTCTGAATATTTAAGCTAGAGCACTAATTTCATAGGTCATTTCTATAGTAACTTATTTATAAAGTTAAAACATATATTGGTCCAGTTTATTTTAATTTTAAACTTCTGTTTAAGTAATCTTCAACTTATTTAAACTCTCGTGCAAATGTCTACTTTATTTTAAATATAGTGATTCCAGTGATGACTACTTTGCTTAAAACTACTTTTGTATAGTTTTTGTTAAAAATAATATAAAGTGTTGACATAAAAGGGCAAAATCAGAATGTGTTTTGGGGTATCTTTAAAGATTAGCAGATTTTTAATAACAATTTGATATCCTTAGAACATAAAATTTTGACAATTCTGAGAAAAGAGATGTAATATCTGGATTTCAAACTTGACTACTTTGCATAACTCTGAGTTTGTTATATATTTTAAATATACATTTGGTCATTCGCAAGCATTTAAAATATAGTTTGCAACACTTCTTTTCTGTCCTAGGAGTGTGGTTGTGGCCCCAAAGAAGTCAGTGAGTTCATCTTCAGCCACAATTAACGTGCCTACAAATGCTGTTAGTGTGGTTTCTTCTTTGGATTCTTCTCAAGCCCCAGATGTAAATGGAAGCTCTCCAAGTAAGTGAGAGAACGCAGATGAGTTTTGCAAAATAAAATAACAAAGCAATATGATATATATTTGTAATTTAGCTACCGAGACATCATATACCACCCAACTGAAATTGCAAAGTTGAGTTTCCTTGGCTAAGAAATACTCAAAAGAATCCTAAGTACTGATCTTTTCTCTTTTTTAACTTTTTATTTAATTTTTTATTTATTATAAATTTGGCTCTTAGAATACTTTTGCGTAAATATTATGTCCCCAATTTAAGTGCTGACATTACTGCAAAGATTGTTATATGAACTTCCAGTAATAAGATGTTATATGAACTTTCAGTAATAAGAACTCAGAGCCTATCCTATAAATAGCTTTTAATACTACACATAAAGTGAGAATAGCCATTGGTTTTCATTTGTGGTCCTGGATCTTCCCTAAATATATAATATGAAAATATTCTGCCTTGATTTATAATATTCTCCCTTCCAGCAGAATTCTATACTAAATGTAAAAATGTCAGTAGTCATCTATGGTTGCTTTTTCCTTCATACAATCGTGTCCGATTCTCAGAGACTGCTTGGACAAGTCCCTGCAGTTTTCCTGGCAAAGTTTTTCAGAAATAGTTTACATTGCCTCCTTTCTAGGGCTGAGAGAATGATTGGGCCAATGTCACCCAATTAGCTTTGTGCCTAAGGTGAAAGCAGTAGTCACAGTCTCCCTGTTTCTAGCCTGATTCCTTAACCTCTGAAGCAAACTAACTCTGATTAGTTCCCAACAAAATTATTTGATGCTATAAAGAAAGCTGAAATTGAAGTTCATTTATTTATTATATATATATTGTAATATCTATTTTAATGATTTAGTGGCTGATGAAAAAAAATAGTATGCTCTCTATCTTTTTATTTGTATGAAACCTTGGTTTAGAATGATTCTCTAGAGATTATTTTACTTGCCCATTGTTATCCTTATGCATCAATTATTTAAATACCTTCATTCAACTATTGAGATGATATTCATGTAGATTTGAAATAGGAAATAATCCTGCAGAGAGGCTGTTTAAGATAGTGGACAAGATTTATTTTTAAGTCCTAAAGAGAGCATCAGGTAATTATTGTAAAGAAGATGCATAATATTTAAATTTTGCAGTAAGTGAATGAATTCACTCTTATATTTTGAAATAGCAACAGATAACTTGAGATTTATCTTTTTAATCTCTCTTTTTCTATGTTTTTATATCCAAAATATTTCTTTAGCCAACTAAATATTCCCTTTAAAAAGAAATTCTTGTTACTAAAGAAAGAAGAAATAAAATCTGTCTCATAGCTGTTACTTTGTCATTAAGCTAGTAGTTAGGTTAGACCTTTGCACATATACATTCAGACATGCAGGTGTTTTGGGAACAACCCCTTCTCTTAAGATCAGTTTATTGCCAGAGACATTATTTGTTTGGACCCTTGGGGACCTTGGATAAACAATAAGCTTTCACTAGAAGGGTGCTAGACAGATGATCTATTTGCATTTCCTTTTATGTCCTTACATATGTCTGTAAAACTGTCAGTTTGAGGGAGCCAGTTTATCAATGAAAGGATAAGAAAGATAAGCCACTTGGGTTCCACTTGTTTGAAGTAGCTACCACAGTTACTTGCATGTCTGCTTTAGAAGAAAACATGCTTCTGAAAGATCTCTCTTCCCTTAAATGAATAAAAGGCATTTTAAAATGAAAACTCAGCTGGAAGTACATTTAGTACATTTATCTAAATAAGATTTATATGATGTAGTGCTTTGGAAACACTTGCAGAGCAATGCCTAACTGACATTTTTGTGCTTTCATAATCTTTAATCTAATATATTCTTTGAGACTATTTTTATCAGTGCTGAAGTTATAAGCCTTAAATGGCATTTTAATCTACAGAACTGCTTTGATGTTTTTTCCCCTAAAGGGTACAGTCTGAAATCTAAATGTGTTAAGAAATTGGTTGGGTTTTTAGCACTGTCTCATATACTGTATGTAGGAAATGTAAAATTTGAGGTTCAATTTTGTGTGGCATTTTGTATATATTTAGCTTTAGGTTTTATCTTATTCATATTAAGTTGCACAGTTGTTTTAAACCTATCAACTGACCAAGTAATTTTTTAAACGTGCACTACATACAGTCTTTTTCTGACTAGTTAATTAAGTTTGGAGTGGAACTGCTATATGGAATTGCTTCTCCTTTCTAAGACAGGCATTAGCCTCAACAGATGTGCTGCACTGCTATTTACATTCTACTGATTCTAGCAGTATGGAAAATGTGATTTGAAGTAGCTTGTGCTGCAATAAAACTTCATTTTATCTGGGCACCAAGCCAACTTTTTCATCATAAACCAAGCTCTTCAGTTAGTTAGGGTAACCAAAAACTCTGTTGCTGACTCTGAATGTCCAACATCAGGAGCTGATATCTCAAATAACTTAATATTGTCCTGTTAGATTTATAGCTTGCCACATCCCGAAGGATCAGAGTTAGTAGCAACTTAAAAGGAAGAACATTTATTATAATAGATTTTTAGCTTGTGTGCTTACCTTTCTTCTGCTCCTGAACTTGGTCATAGATATAAGTTAATTTTTTTAAATATAAATATTATGGAAAAAAGTAATTATTTTCACACAGACACACACAAAAATATATGTACAAATATACATGCAATGCTGCTATATTTTGCTTCTTTAGATCATATATTACAGAATTCTTTAACATTTTTTATCATAGATTCTGTATTACAATTTACAATTGCAAATTTCTTATAATACGGGATACCATAATTAACAATATACCCTAGGTTTCCATGCAGATATTCATTTTTAAAATGGTTTAAAAACAAATACAGAAGTTAAGGAAAAAACATGAAAAATGCATGATAAATCCAAAGTTCTCGTATTTTTAGATATTCAAAATTTTTGGAACATAGTTTAATATAGCTTTACTTTTTCAAGATTCTATTAATATAACCTTACAATAAAATATAATGGGTACACATGAGCAACCTTGCAAGACTGACACAAGTCTGAAATTAGCTTCAGTGTTAATTTCTCAAATTGTAAAATGAGTTAGTGAAATTAACTATTTTGAATAAAGAAATTTTTGAAATATTTCACCTGATTTCAATCATCTTAAATAGCACTTTATTGGTTAAGAAACATAGCTGTCAATATGAGGTCTCTGATATATTCTGATAGAAGAATAGAAACATCGAAGACCTTCTGTATAGTTAACAAAAACACTTTTTATATCTTGTATATCTATTAATCAAGAATGGGGATACTCTATAGTTCCAGGGCTCAATAGAATTGCACAGTTGTATTTTAAGCTATAGCAGCTTTTCATCATCTCTATATTATAACTTCTTTTAATAACCAGATTTTGGCAAGTGTGAACACTGTTTCTTAAAAGTGGGCAAGTTTTAAAGAGTAGAGACACACTGTTAATGTAAAACATACATATCTTAATCAAAGTAGAGGAAGAAAAACAACAGAGCTTTTTGTTCTTTTTATTCTCTCTTTTCCTAGTCTGAAAATGTTAAAAACAAGTTTTAATTGATGCCTCTTTGGTAATGGATAACTTTGGTAATGAGAATTTCCCAAAAGCAATACAGGGAATAATTTGAATGTTATCCAGGTACTTAAGGATTCGGGCTATCTTTTTCCAAGATTCCAAGCACAATATGAATCAAGTATGCTGACGATGATAAAGTAAAGTGCAAGTCAGTATTTGCTGAATTATACGTGAATTACTCTGTATACTTACAAATTGATACTCCTGCTTTGAATTCAGAACTATTGTGTCACAAATCAACTAGCATTATAAAACTGTAGAATTAGAATAAATTGCATAAAAATTAGAAGTGTGAAAAGAAATATAACCTTTAATATGTCCCACACATAAATATTTTGGCAGCTGGTAAATTTAAATACAGGTGTCCACTAGTTATGTCTACTTCATATGGGAATAGAGGTAGGATTAATTTTTCAGTCAGTGACATTTTCAGTTAAAAAGTTCAAAGGCAGTGGTCCTAGTAAAGATCTTGGAGCTAAAGTGAACTGCTCCAGTCAGTGTAGAAAGTACTGAATTAGCATGGGTTTTGATTAAAGATAGTTTCGTATATTTACAGCTATTTGAACTCTTAAAAATCTCTTTGGTAGGTAATGGATCATCAGATTCAAGATTACCATCTGTTCCTACACTTTCTTCTGTGCCTGAGGATTCTGCTTCAAACATGAGGTAACTTTTAAGTTTCTTCCAGCAGGTTATATCATATTCCAATTTATTTAAGTAACATGGAATTCACTCTACACTTTTGATTGGATTGTGCTCTTTCATTTGAGGCTGATAGGAAGTTTTGGATTTCTATTACTGCTATTTCCGTTTAAATAGTAACCTAAACTCAGTGTGTTTAGCCATTGACTTGTTGACTTTTGTTGATGTATTTTGTACTTTTGCAGATTGCTTTTCTCCTTAGAGAATTTTTGCTCTTTAAATTATGTTTTTTATTGAACTTGTACATCTCTTAGTATTTCAGAGAGGCTTGAGCATGCTTTGGAAAAAGCTGCCCCTCTTCTGAGGGAGATATTTGTGGACTTTGCTCCTTTTCTTTCGCGTACCCTCTTGGGTAGTCACGGTCAAGAACTACTGATAGAAGGTACAAGTAAGTTTCCCTTTTTTATGCTTTTATAAGAACTAAATATTTGACACTGGAAGCTAGTTTAAAATTTAAAATTATTTATATTGAATAAATTATTGAAATAATGTTAATAGCTGAGTATTGCTATCAAACTATTTAGTGTTTATTTTAAGATTACTTCCAGCTCATATAATTAGAGTTAAAAAGCCACAAGATGATTCAGTGTACATGTGGGGGGACTGTATTAGCTACAGCCCTCATATTCTGTTCAATATTTATTATTGTTTTGCATATTGCTTGGCCACCTTTCCTATCCATCTATCTTTTTTACCTATCCTTATAATCAACTATATTTTTTTCTCTTTATTTTCCTTTAGAATATCCTACAGTTCCATACAGGCATTTCTGAGTTAAGAATGTCCGATTTATGGACAACCAATACTTAGCGATGGACTGCCTCTTGTTAAAAACATCATACAGAGTTCTCCTTCCTGAAGCCAAAAACTTCTGAAGCCATGCAGTGTTTTTATGAAATGCTGAATCTGTGCTTTTTTAATATGTAGTTTGTTTTCAGTGATTTTCAGTGGTTTATAAAAACATTGTGTGGCTTCAGTATTTTGTTAGCTTCAGTAAACACTGTCCAACATTTTTATTTGTTTGTTTATTCATTACATTTCTATCCCACCCATCTCACCTAAGTGGCTCTGCGCAGTTTACAATACCACAAACAATTCACAATATAAAACATAAAGAACAAAGTTAAAGACATAAATAAAACACTTGATGAAAATATTAAAAGTTAGAGTTAAAAAGGCAGAAAAGCACCTACAACTCATGAAAAGAAAGAGTAGGGGTGACATGATAGTAGTGTTCCAATATCTAAGGAGTTACTACAAAGAAGAGGCAGTCAACCTATTCTCCAAAGCACCTGAAGGCAGGACAGGAACCAATGGATGGAAACTAATTAAGGAGAGAAGCAACCTAGAACTAAGGAGAAATGTCCTGACAATTAGAACTATCAATGGAACAACTTGCCTCCAGAGGTTGTTAATGCTTCAACACTGGAAGTTTTTAAGAAAAGATTGAACAACCATTTGTCTGAAATGGTATAGGATTTCCTGCTTGAGCAGGGAGTTGGACTAGAAGAACTCCAAGCTCCCTTCAAATTCCGTTAGTCTGTTATTAGTACCCCCACAATCACATAGCATTGCCCAACCCCATGCCAGTTGGCAGAATCAAGTTTTCACACTCTATCTGAAGGCCAGAAGAGGGGAGGCTGCCTCCTCTGGGGGTGAGATGTTGCAAAGACCAAGAGCAATGGCAGAGAAGGCTATCTTCCAGGATCCCACCAGTAAGAATTCTTTATCCAACAGCATTCGCAACATACCCTCCCTGCCTGACCAGGTGGAATGGGACAATATAATTAGTATGAGATGGTTCCTTAGGTAACTTAGTCCCATGCCATGAAGGGCTTTAAAGATGATAACTAATGAATTGGAGCTGGAAGCAAACTGGCACTTGGTACAGCTCACATAGTAGAGATGTTACATGCTTTTCAAGGATAGCCCCATTGCAATATTTCATATAGGTGATGACCAGAGTATGAGTGATTGAAAGAAGAAGGGCTTCTTGATGCAGGAAAGGATATAACGGGTGAAAAAGGTGACGTTTAGCAAAAGTCCTCTTAGCCAGAGGTCCCCAACTTTTCGGGCACCAGAAACCGGGGCCATGGAAAAAGGTTTTTCAATGGACCAGAGGGGGTATAGTTTTCGTCCTGCCTGCATCCCGTGAATGGGGCTTCGCTTGTTTGTGCGGCCTGGTTGCTGGCATGCTGTGGACCAGTGCCGGTCCACAGACCAGGGGTTGGGGACTCCTGCTCTTAGCCACGACTGCCACCTTGGTTCTTACTTGGGCATCTATTCTGATCATTTGTATTGATTCAACTGTAAAGTTTAATTTTTGTTGATCACTCTATTTATTTGATGTTACTTTGTCATTGTAATAAACATAAATTAGATTCTTCTCTTTCTGAAATAGCAAAGTGCCTTCCAGCATTTCATGACTTTTTTGTTACACTGTTAAACAGGATAATTTTATTGTTAATTGAGCAACAAAATGCTAGGATGATATAAGAGTCATTGTAAAATATAATCACCTGGGTATATCAGGTTTAGAAACTTGAGTAGGTTTATTAAACTATTATATTATTACTTTTGATTATAAAAGGGTTGAAAGTATCATTAAGTAATTATAGTATTGAAAGAATAAAGACAACTATGTATAATTTCAGGAAAGTACTTCAAATTGTGAGAGGGCAAGGCAGTTTCTAGAGAAACAACACAGGAAATGCATAGTAACCTTGAACATCTGAAACTGATTTACAGAAAGATTTAGCAAATAGAAGAGCAGGCAGATGGTGGCCTTTTGTTGTATAGAATTCAAGTATTAGGAAGTACAAATGATGTATGCATCAGACAACTGCATTTAAAAGGTTTGTTGCTCACAGATTTATCATATAACAATATTGTATATATTTTCATTCCTATTTGTTGCCCATTTTTCATTTAAAAGTCCAGGTTGTATAATTGTTTAGTAATATACAATATGTGAAGATAGATTTTAATGGGGATACAGTGGATGGTATCAGCTATTGTGCTATTACTTTTCCAGAAATATGGGTGTTTCCTCTTATTTCAGAGGAGAACATCTCAAGGCAATTGCAAATCTGTTAAAAAGTTTATAAAATGTTCTAAATGATAAAACTAAAAATGGTGATAAAAAGTTCTGTTAGAAATTAGATTTTGGGACATTTTCAATTCTGGTTAGTAGATAGCTTAGTGACATGCTTACAGACTTTTAGGAAATACACCAGAAAATTTAGAGATTCTGCTTTCAGTATTAGTGTATTTTAAAAATGCCATTATAAAAGGTCATATAAACTGGGCAAGCTAAATGGTGAATCCAGGGAAATATTTAGCATACATTATAAATTTATGATTTTTAAAGAATTTGATAATTTATTATTATTAAATGCATTATTTAGTGGAATGATTCTTAAATTCAATGAATACATAAATAAACTGTTTATCATATACATACATTATGTTGTATCCAACAGTATATAGAAACTTAGCTAGTCTGTCTATTTTTGTAATATATTAAATGCATGATATTATTGGCTTAGTAGGGGTTTTTTCAGTGTCATTAAGCCAAAGACAAACAGAATTACTGAAAGGAATGCCACTATTTTAGGGCATTTAGGACAACATGTTTTCATATTATACTGGGGAAATAGCATGAAGTGCGAACTGATATTAATAACCAAATTAGTTTATAAATGTATAGGTTACTCTTGTGCTCTCCACCTCCTTAAGGTTTAGGTTGGGGTCAAGGGTCAAAGTACTAATAAGAGTGCTTGGGATGTCTGCTGCCATGAAACAAAATGGAAACTTGATTGATAGCTGGAGGGCTGAAGGGAGAGAGCTCAATGGAGAAAGCAAAGGTCACAGAACCATTTCCCTTCTCTGCATATATAATGATCAATCCATTCCAAGGTGAAGAAATGTAATAATATAAATCAATATACAATATGCCATACTTACTTTTATTAACTTGAAACCCTAATATTTATGTAATGCCAATTAAACAGCTTCAGGTCATCATTTTATATTAAAATTATGCATTGCAGTAATGAAATTAGTGTATATATTTAAATATATATTCTATTCACATAAACATTTGGATAAAACAATGAATATGTGAGGTTTCTTGTATTAAATGAGAATCATTCTACAGCATAGGGATAATACTACAAAATCTCAATATAATAAAATGCCAATATTGTATATTAAATATATGAAACTAAAGTCAATCAAAGTATGTAATTCCATTTCTTTTTTCCTTTAGGTCTTGTATGTATGAAATCTAGCAGTTCAGTTGTGGAATTGGTCATGCTGCTTTGTTCTCAGGTAGGTTTCAGCTGACTTTAAACAGCTACTATTGCCAATAAAACAAGCAAGCAAACTAGCAATCAAAAAACATTTAGTTTTAGAGCTTCTGTCTTTCTTTGTGTTCAATGATAAAAGCCTAAACAACATCATCATTGTGGCATTCTTCAAACAAACCTGATTACAAAAGCTCTTTGAGAAATTCAGAACACCAGCAGAGGTAACTGCAATTTGGTGTCCATTATATTTTACATTCCCCAGCTCTAATCCAATGGCTATGCTGCCTGGAAATAACAGAAGTTCTAGAAAAAACTAGAAAAGATCCCTAGTATATAAAACAATATATTAACAATATTATGTTATCCAGTGTGATCAAGATAGATACTGCCTTAAATTTTTGTGATTTATTGTGTTATATATTATTTTAATAAGAGGCATCTTTTTACCCAGTAACATATTTAAAAAGAAAAAGACTAAACTATGGACTTTAATATTTAATGTAAAATAATATAGCTGCATTAGAATTAATGGGATTTGATCTTTGCCCTTTTAAAAAGGATTTAAAATACATCAGGCCTAATACTAATTGCTCTTGACATAGGTTCGATGAGAAATGTAAAATGCAACTTCATATTTTATACTATTGTAGAAAGTGTTATTGCAATTAATTGTGATTTACAAAAAATATAATCTAAAAAATTAGATATGTCAACGAATTATAATATGTAATAGATCAAATAACAATAGTTTATTCCTCTCACATTTTTCTTTATCATTATATGGAAAATGTTTATCTTTTTGTTTTGGCTTTTAAAAATCACATCTTTACTGATAGTAAATTCCCCTACTTAAAACTTTAAAATAGCTTTTTTTAATGGGAATGTTATTGGTCTAGAGGTCAAGGGTTTTGACCCATTTCAGAACCTTTGACCTTCATTTAAAGCCCTTATGGTTTACTTGCCTGACGAATAAGGTTAATGCAAAATTAATGTTTTTTTTACATTGATTTATTTGTTTTAGTGCCTGTATTGCCAAATGTATTTAGTCTGTGCTGATAGACATTTCATGAATACAAATGAAAGAATCATAGAAGGTGTGAAAAATCAATAACTTGCATCGACAATAAAGTGCAATAAAAACAATTACTTTTGGAGATTACAGTTAATGGATTTTTACAATGAACTAGTGAAGAATAGTTTTGTTTCTAGTGAGTCTGTTATTCAGGAATGCACTCAAACATGTTAGGGCTGTTTGAATTTTTTTCTAGAAATGCACATAGCATTGGATAATTTTAGCTAGGGATAGATAGATAGATAGATAGATAGATAGATAGATAGATAGATAGATAGATAGATAGATAGATAGATAAGATTAGATAGATAGATAGATAGATAGATAGATAGATAGATAGATAGATAGATAGATAGATAGATAGATAGATTTCCAAGGCAGCATATTTTAAAATAATGATTTTTGAAAAGGAAGGAACTTTATTTGCTTAATACTTTCTTTGAAACGGTGATAAACATGTAAAAGTACTATTGAGAAAATAATTAGAACTTTATTGCTCAACACACACAATACACAAACATATCACATGCACTAATATAAAATATACATAACTATGAATACATATGAGAATTACACGTATCAAAATTACTTCAATACTCTGTGATTCAAAGAGGAATGAATGATATACTCTAATGTCTCTATTTTTTATTCATATTGTTTATGTCCTGTTATTGAATAGAATATGGTAATGAATTAATTGAGACGATAACAGTGAAATACATTGTTTTTTATTAAATAGTTGAAAAAGCCAATACAGTAACTTAAAATGATATCCTGATTTAAAAGAATAACTATAACACAAAAAATAGTCTTAAGAAATGAACTAAAAGGATCTTAGAAGTATAAAGATTTAAACTTGGGTAATAATTACATATTTTTTCTCTGTATTTTTCTAATTTAGAGAGGTTAGTATTGCAATCACAGAAATTATCTATTTCTTAAGAGATAAACTGTGTTGCCATAGGAAGTCTGAGAGATACAAAATTGAATTTCAGCTGGACATTTTACAGATACTGTGAAGGCATGGGGTTGAGCTTGATTGATTTTTTCTCTTTGTGGGACTAGGATAAGATGGAAAATGAAGTGACCCTCTTGCTAAAATTTTAATTATTTTTTAAGAAGAGATGGAGAGGATAGAGGGGCCAAAGATCAAAAGATCAGGTCAGAAACTAGATTTAATCACATAAATAATACAATACAGTTAAACATAAGCATCTGTAAATGTGATTTTAAAATTTTATGGATTGGCAGACACATTAAAGCACTGCTATGATTGATTTATATCATGATATGTTATTATTAAAATTATTTTCTGTAATCATGCAGAAATTAAGTTTTACAAATGCAAATTGTGCACAAAAAGTATATTAAAAGTAATATACTGATATTTTTAAAAGTAATTTTGATTTTTTTAAAAAAAAGTTTATTGTAATGCAATAAAAATCCAGGTATTATTTTGCTGCTACTTATTTCCTGAATACTCTGAGTGCCTTAGCTCTTTTTTTCATAGTATACACAAAATGTCAAATTATTTGAAATACTATTGTTTATTCTCCTTGTCAACTCCATCAGATGTCCACACTTGTCCTAAATACCTCAGGACATTTTTAATTGATACTGCATTCTGAGGCCTAATACCAATGTTGTTTAACAATATAAAGGGATTCTGCATTTAGTATTAACTGAAGAATGCCCTTGCTTACTTGACATTAATATCATTTTTTGAAAGAATCCATGTTACATTCAAGGCTGCTTTATAAAAGCATTGGCTTGCTCATCCTAATTCAGTCTGACATATATTCCAATAACACTACCTCCCCTCTAGAGTTTAACGCTAAATTTATTGCTAAGCATTGTGAAGTGCATCATTTAAAAATGGTTTCAACCCAAAACATCTAATAAATAAATAATGTGTGTGGCTACTCAATAGTAGACATTCAAGACTAGAAATCATTCCTTCGGGTAGTCAACAGTCCACTATCGTAGTGGGCTGTCAGATAAATCTTATAGTAGCTGCATTTATGTCCTGTAAATCACATGTTATTGTCTGAGCCTTCTGCCAGGTCATCTATTCTTTTCCCATTTATCAGAAATGCATACAGTACATTGAAGCTCAATGCACCATCTAGTCTGGCTTCCTGTCCAAGTAATTATACCAACAGAAAGTGTGAAAATCTCAGCCAGATGCTCCTTTTGAGTATATCATGTCCAGAATTCATATAGAGTATTTCTGTCCTACTCCAGAATGCTTTTTATTTAAAAGGTCTTATGAAATGCTACTTGAATAAGAACAATTTTAAATTTTATACTATTGCATGCATACTGATATGCACAAGTTAATTTCTGTACAGTTGTTAGTTTATCAGATCTGTTTCCTTTAATTAATTCTACAACAAATGAAAAATTCTTTATTTTCTTGTGATCTTTTAGTTGATTGTGTAACTTTCTGATAAATAAATGTTATGTATAATAAGGATTCATAAATGATTCTAGAAACAACAATAAGCAAAATTCCTTGACCAAGCAAAATAGTTTTGATTTGGTTTATAGATTATTTGACTGATTCAATTGCTGCAAAGATCCAGAATTATGCATAGTTCTTAAATGAATCAGAAAAACTTCAACTACACCAGTGGACTTTTGAATGTAATTAGAGTATCACAAAATAATTGTTCTCTTTTACAGTACAAAATTGTGTATCAGTCTAAATGCATAATTTTAACAATATGAGCAATCATAATTATTTTTTTAAAATTTAAAATGTCAATTAAAATAAAAAATGCTGTTTTCTTCATGAGAGGGATGCAGAGAATTTAATAGACATTGAAGTTATAGAATGGCTTGCTTACTTGTAACAGTGGTTCTCTGTGTCAACATCTGTGAATTCATATCATTTGGTTCTGTTTGTAGAACATTCCAGAGTCTGATGGATTTGATCTGAACACTGCCATCTTTATACTTGGCTAATCTTAAAATCAGCATAAATATTCTTAGAATTAACAAGTGCTATATGACACTGAAAAAGGGCAGATAATGCCTAAAGAATGTAAGGATCATTCCAACATATAGTGGAATTGATGAAAAAGGTAGTTTAGATATGATTCAAACAAGAGAAATGTGCTCTTTGGTAAAAATGAAAAAGCAAAGTACAGAACTAATTTGTCTCTGTGCATGCCGATGTAAGGTGGGGCACAGAGTTCACTAACCCATTTATCATACATGACAGCCACAATGAATTCAAGCAATAAATGAGAAGTAAACCCTTCACAACATACTTAACCAATAGAAAAATACCCAATATTTGGACAAAAATAAATAGTTGAAAGATATGCATATATGCATATATATATTGAAGGATAGCAAAAATAAACTGAGAATCCAGACAAGACACATTTTATTCTTGGTGCTTCTTCTGCGTTTAAATGGTATTCATGCTTTAAATGGCATTGGTTACCATTGGTTAGCTTATAGCCTAGGGATATTCCAGTCATCATCACAATTACTGGAGACTAAAATGGCCTTATCAGCTCAGACTGATATTCAAACCATGCTCTTACTTGGAGAGAAATAGCCTTGTAATAATTGTTTGGTAACTTCGCAGTTAACTCATTCCAATGTGCTGTAAATGTACTGTAACTGCTTGGAAGCTATTCTAAAGATTCTTGATGAATCATATAGATGTGATTATATTATGATGATGCATAATTTGAAGTCCAATTCGTCAGTGAATATAGATGTAATTAAAAAGAATACTGAATCCCTATAGTGTAAGTTAACTTTGCTATGGAAATATCACAAGATTGAATCCTAACATGCTTTTTCTTGTGCTGCAAATAATAACTCTATTCTTAATAGCTTTTTAGAAAAGCTGTATATTGATTGGTTAATCATTTGATATAACTTAAACACTATAAGTAATGTACATGGGCATCTAAAAGAACTAGAATCTC